CCGCCGCCGACCCCCCCCTCCAGCAGCCCCTGCACCACCCGCTCGTCGGCGGCGAAGCGCCAGAGGTAGAGCTGCAGGTAATGGCCGTCCACCTGCACCTGCTGCAGCCCGAAGCGCCCCAGCGTCCGCAGCCGCACGCACTCCAGCAGCGTCTTCAGGCTGATCTTGATGATCCCAGTCAGCACCGACACCTGGGGACAGCAGGGACATGTGGCACAGCGGGACAGGGATGCCCCCAGGGCAGGAAGGCCATGAGTCACATCTGCAGGGGGACTGGGGACACTGGGGACGCCCCTCTGCAGGCCAGCAGCTCCTAGGATCCTCTCATCCTGGTCACCAGGCCCCAGGGATCCCATGAGTCCTGACACACGGGATGTGGGGACACTGGGGACATGGGGAACGGGGGCTCCTTCGGCCTGGATTCCTCAAGTGCAGGGAGGCCCCAAGTCCCACCAGCATGGGCACATGGGTGACAGGAGGTGGGCAGTTCAGGGACCTCGGGGACATGGGGACCGGGGGGGCCCTTGGGGACCCAGGGATGTCCCCGTGGCCTCACCTTGTTGAACTCAACAGGGCTGAAGATGTCGATGCGTTCGGAGAAGAGCTTCTGGATGTTGCTGAGCAGGTGGGTGTCCATGGGGGCACTGGGGACGGTGACACCAGGAGTCAGGGACACGGGGACAGCAGAGTATTTGAGAAAGCCAGGGGGTGTGGGGGCAGGGACACAGGGACTGTCACGAGACACCGGAATGGGGACAGAGAGATGGTCAGAGGATGCAGGGACAGTCAGGAGAATACTGGGACTGTTTGGGGACACAAAGACGGGGAACGTGAGGCTGGGCGGTGGAGGTGGGGACAGTCAGGGAACGTGGGGATGGTCAGGGACACGGAGAGGAGATGATCACGGGACGCAAGGCACGTGGGGATCGTCAGGGGATACTGCGACAGTTTGGGGACGTGACGAGGGCCACGGGGAAGGTGTAGCGATTACCACAGGGGTGACAGAGGGAGTGCAGGGGTGACGGGGTGGCCCGGGGGTGGCCAAGAGGCGGCCTGGGTGACAGGGCTGACCTGGGGGTGTAGCTGGGGGCGTAGCGCCCGGGTGCCCGTGAGCTGCTGTAGACGGAGAAGGCGCGCCGGTCGAGTCGCTGCTCTGCGCCCGCCGCACCCCCTCCTCGAAGAGCTGCCCCACCTGCGGCACCACACCCTCTCAGTGCTGGTATCCCAGCATCCTCCCAAATACCCTCTGGGACCCCCCAAAGCCACCCAGGACGCCCCAAATCCTCTGTGACCCTCCCAAACCCTTCTGGGACCCCCCAAGATCCTCAAGGACCCTATGGGGACCTCAGGCATCCCCTCTTGACCCTTCAGGGACTTCAGCCCCCTGCCCCAGGACCCTCGGGGACTCCCAGCTCTCCCAGGAACCCTCCGAGACATCTGGGAATGACCAGGGGACTTCAGGGACCCCTGCAGAGGCCCTCTGAAGACTTCCTAAAGTCCTCAAGGACCTTATGGGGACCTCGGGGCCTCTCCAGGGACCCTCGGGGATGTCTGGGACCCCCCGCGGGACTTCAGGCCCCCCCAGCCCCTTTGGGCTCCTGGTGTTGCCCCAACCTGCACATCAATGGCGGTGATGTCCTCGACCACGCGCTTCATGACGGCACGGCTCTTCCTGAGCATCTGTGCCACCGCGGCGCCCTGGACCTGCACGTAGTGGTCGAGCAGCCGCTGCGCCGCCCCCCGCGCCTCTGCGCACAGCGCCGGTCCCGGTGTCACCGCCGGGCCTGTGTCCTGGGGGTGCAAGGGACACGGAGACATGCGGAGACACGCAGGAACACCCCCACGCCTCGGCGCACGGCGCTGTCCCCACCGTCGCCACTGGCCCTGTGGCCTGGGGACACAAGGGCCCCCCGTGCCTCCGCCATCTGCTGTCCTGGGGCACAGGGACATCAGGAGACATGTGGGATGCTCTCCGGGCCACTCCACCTGCAGCAGCATCACTGCCACCCTCATATCCTTGGAGCATCTGGGGGAACTTGGGGACACGCAGAAGCTCCTTGGGGACATTTGGGAGACGCTGGCACAGGTAAGGACCCTTCTGCCTCCATGTGCACTGCCATCCCCAGGGTCACAGCCTGGAGGGACATGGGGCACCAGCAGGGAGGGGGACCTGGGGACATTCTGGGGTCCCTCAGGGACATCTGGAGGCACACAGAGACGGAAGGAAGATCCCCACACCTCCACATACACCATCGTCTCCACCACCGCATCCTGGGTGGACACAGGGCCACGGAGGAACCTGGGGCCACCTGAGGTCTCATAGGGCCATCCCGGACCCTCTGGGGCCATTCTGGGGACAATCAGAGCATTTTGGGTCCACTCAGGGATGTTTTGGGTGACACAGAAGGAAGATCCCCAGGCCTCCACGCACACCATGGCACCCGCCACTGTGTCCTGAATGGATGCTGGGACACAGAGGGATGCCGACCCGTTTTGTGACATTTTGGGGACATTCAGGGTCCCTTTAGGGCCATTTTGGGGCCAACTGGGGCAGTTTTGGGGGCTCACCTGGGGAGGAAACTGCTCGTCGGTGAGCGTGAGGATGTAGCTGATGGTGGTGGCCTCATAGTCAAGACAGAGGCGGGCGAGGAGCAGCAGCAGGGCCGGGGGTGCGGCGGGGGCCCCCCGCTCAGCCGGGCCGTCGGCAAAGCCCCGGGCGGTGCGGCAGAGCCAGCGCACGAAGGCCACCACCAGCCCTTCGCGCACCGCCTCCACGCAGAACTCCCCCTGCGACCGAAAACAAGGGGTTACACCCCAAAAATACAACCCTGGGGCCACAAAACCCCACAAACTACCCTGTACGAGCTCCACACCGCCCCAGCGACCCCCAAACTGCCCTGCACAACCTCCAAATCGCCCACGACCCGCCCAGTCGGCCTTGCGCAAGCCCTGACCTGCCCCGCGCAACGCCCGAACTGCCCTGGGCCAACCCCAGATTGCCCCAGCGACCCCCCAAACTGCCCCACGCCCCCCCACAGCCCACCTTGAAGTAGGGCAGGCTGGCAAAGGCGACGTCCTTGGCGGTGAAGAGCTGCACGTAGGCCAGGACGGCCTTGAGCTGGCCAAGGATGGAGGAGGCAAGCGTGGCCAGCAGGTCGGGCAGGCCGGGACCCTCCTTGCCAGGGGGCCGGGGAGCGGCCAGCGCCTGGCGCACGTCGCCCAGGCACCCCAGGAAGAAGGTCTGCAGCGCCCG